CCCGCCGAGCAGGGAGCCCGATGCGGGGCTCGATCCCGGGACCCTGGGATCATGACCTGAGCCGAAGGCAGACGCTTAACTGACTGAGCCACCCAGGCGCCCCAGTGGATACAGTTTAAACAGTACGTAGTGCTGCATTGTTGGATGAAAACGTGTTAGTGACGCAAGCACGGGGCGGGTGGGGGGAGGGACTTGTACAAAGATCGGCCAAAGGACAGTGCTTCCGTGTCCGCTCACCAATGCACCCAAGTACCAGCCCTCACCCCAGGCTCCTGAGTATGAGCACGGAGGTGCGCCTGGGGCAGCATCCGGGTGTAAGCAGTGAAAGAATACACACCTGGGTTCAAGCCCTGGCCCTGCTGCTTTCTAGCTCTGTGTCCTTGCGGGGAATTACTTATTCTCTCTGACATTCCGTTTCCTCTTCTGTAAAATGGATTTAGTAATCGTTCCTACCCACAGGGCAGATCTGAGGCTTATAGGAGGTACAGTTGGTCCAGCACATGGGCAAGAGCATGAATGCCCTTGCTGGAAACCCAGCTCCACCCCTGATTAATCACGTGGCCCAAAGTGAATGCCTTAACCTCTTGGTGCCTCGGTGTCTTCATCTGCAAACTGGGCTCATGAGACTTAACTCACAGGGTTGCTGTGAGGAAGAAAGAAGCTAATGTACATAAAGTGGCCACAATGGCTCGCATGAGGTATTAGCAATCACCGCCATCAGCATTAATGACATTGCCACTCCTCACACCAATCTTGAGAAGTAAAAACTATTAATATTCTCATTTTGCAGATGAAGAAACGGAGGCTCAGAGAAGTTAAGTGATTTGCTCAAGGTCACACAGCAAGTAGTGAAGTGGGTTTCAAACAAAGACCTACCAAAGTCCAGATTCAAGCCCTCAACTGCTACTCCCTCTGTGCTCCTTTTTCTTTTCCTGATTAGAGGAGGGAGGGATGGAACGGGGACTTGCTACCCTGGGGGCCAGGCTGGAGCCTGGTAGCCAGAGCTGGGCCCAGCCTCAGGGTGAAGTTTGTCCCACCCCATGCACAGTGGCAAGTCAAGACCAGCCTTATGAGAGAGAAAGGCTGGACAGCTGCCTCCTCAAGCATCAGCAAGAAAGGGGTGCTGGTGCAGACACGAGGCCACTGGAGAGGGCTTTTACTCCAGTGGGGTGGTGAGGTGACTTTTACTGTGGTAGGTGGACCCTCACCCAGGTTCTCTGCTTCTTGCCACTGCAGCTCTGAGGTCACGGAATGATAACACCTGCAACCACAAGTTCCCCTTTGTCTGCAAGATCGTGTCTCTGACCATTCACTGATCCGGTCTTGCCCCCTCACAGTGAGCCCGACTCCAGCACTGTCTTGTAGCTGTACCTAGTGTAGATCGGACACTCAATAAATGTGAAACACGGGGGAGATAAAGCTCCCACACAGAGATTTTAAACAAGCAAGTCTTAATGCTACAGAGTGGTTACTTGAGCACAAGTGACAGGAAACACAACTTAAACTGGCTTAATAAATAAAGAGGGGAGGTGGATTTATTGCTCTAGGTAACAAAAATCCAAGGTTTGTTCTAGACTCAGAGTTGAATTTCATTGGTCAGGCTCAGTCACACTCTACTTTGGCATATGTTGGTTGGCTAGACCCTGCTTAGATGCACATCTCTGGGGCAGAAAGGTGTGGGAGTCGATATCACCTAAACCACATGGGCCCGAAGAGGTGGGCGGTTCCCCAAAGAAAAACAAAAATATCAACAGATTTATACATGGCTGGTGGGAATATAAGATGGTGAAGCCATCCTGGAAAACAAGACGGTGCTTCCTCAAAAAGTTAAACAGAATTACCATATGACCCAGCAATTCTAATTCTGGGTATATAACCAATAGTATTGAAGACAGGTATTCAGACGTGAGGGGTCATCGCAGCATTATTCAGAATGGCCCCCAAAGTGGAAACATCTTTGGGGGTACCACCGAGATGACCTCTTCCCACGGGTCAGGGTCCTAACCAGGGCCCTGACCATCGTATAATGCATGCCTTCCTTGGGACCTTCACTGCCTTTGAAGTTCGGTCACTCTGAGTCCTGGGCTTGGTCTGCCCTCCTGCCAACTTCTTTGTCTGCAACCAAAGAGGTTCTCTGGCTTTCACTCCTAGAGCAAGGGCCTGTGACTCGTCCTCGGCTGATAAGTATCTTTCTGTAGAGCATCGAAGCCTTGTAGCAATAGCCATCCAACCTAGTTATGCTTATGCATACTATTTCCTCTGTTCCCGATTGTATTGGTAATGAATGTATCATTACCCGATACATGGCTTCTGCTGGTGCATTCCCTGCCCCTTGGACACCCTCCCAGCTCACTCAGTGAAAGTTTGAACCACCTTGTGCCAGGGACTGAGGGTGCTCCACCCACCACAACTGATTGCCAGCCTAGAGGGAAGCCATCCAGCTCCTTAGCCCTGCCTTGTTGCCTGCTTCTTCAGACCTCTCCCAGTATCAGTGGTTCTAGACTGGGTGTTCCCGTAGCAGTCGCTGAGACAGAGTTTGGTGCAGAGATCGCTTAGGGATCAATACCTGTGAAGGAAAAGCGGAGGAAGAAGTGGAGCTGGGTGTGACCTGGCAAATTATCAGCCAACCTGGCAGGGAGATCCAGGAGAAAGAAATATTGCCATCAGGGCGCCTGGGTGGCTCAGTTGGTTAAGCGACTGCCTTCGGCTCAGGTCATGGTCCCGGAGTCCTGGGATCGAGTCCCACATCGGGCTCAGCCTGCTTCTCCCTCTGACCCTCCTCCCTCTCATGCTCTTTGTATCTCATTCTCTCTGTCTCAAATAAATAAATAAAATCTTAAAAAAAAAAAAATTAAAAAAAAAAAAAAAGAAGGGAGGGAATGTGCCATTGCTGGTGGCTGGGACCCCGGGCTCCAGATCCCAGTCCAACAGGTCTCACCACCGCCCACTGCTACGGGGGCGCCACCTAACGTTGTTCAAGGAAGGTTCTCGGCGTGCCTTCCTCCCCCCAGCCAGTCATCTTGAGTCGTTTCCAAAAAGAGTATCTCCTAAGAAGCCTTCAGGGGGGCTGACGCTTGGGAGAACTTTATTGTCTCAATCATGGGTTTTCCATGTGTGCTTTTTTTTTTTCAGAATTAAGAGCACATCCTGAACCCCAGCAGTTCGATGGGCTTACAGATATAAATAGTTCAATGGGCTATCATTTGTCATTAAACACGTGGAAAAATCTCCGCCCTCACCAGAGAGCTCAGAATTGCAAACTGAAACAAGATACCATTTTTTGCTTATAAAATTTGCAAAGATTGCCATGAAAGTGATAACACTCAGCGCTGGCAAGGGCACTGTGAGATGGGCACTCTCAGGCATTACCGTGGGAGTATAAATTGCTTTCAGGAGGCAATTTAGCAAAATTGTATCAAAGCCTTAAAAATCTCTCCTCGGAAAATCACCAGAAATGCTGAAAAAGCTTGATGCACAAGGGCTGTTCATCTCAGCACTGGGTGTAATTGTTTTTAAAAAAGGGAACCAGTCTAATTATCCACAAATAGGGGAATGATTAAATCAACTCAAGGGGGGCCACTCAGTGGAGGATTCGAGAGCTATTTAAAACCATGTTTACAAAAATTTATAATGACGTGGGGGAAATACGTTCTCATTTTTGGAACTCGGAATACTGACAGGTATGTATAGTACAATATAACAATTGAATTTTTACAAATCATTGCATTCAAGCGTGACATGAAGAAAAATACACCAGAGCAGTAACATTTTTCCAAGTGTTCTATAATAAGCGTATATTACTCTTGTCATTTGGTAAATGTTAGGTATGCACGTGTTCTTTGGACCTCAAGCGTAGAATTTTACTAATCATAATGGGCCATGTTTTATGTTCACTCTTGAAAAGACGTCACAAGCTGTAGGAACAATGTCTGCGCACTGCCCACCCTCCTGCCAGTCTGTTTTCTTTCTGCCCACAGGCATGCCGGAGCTGCCGCGGGCTTCCCTGTGCCCACTGTTCTGGATGGAGTTCAAAGGCCACTGCTATAGATTTTTCCCTCTCAATAAGACTTGGGCCGAGGCCAACTTCTACTGCTCTGAGTTCTCCACTGGCAGGAAATCCACCAAACTGACCTCCATCCACAGGTGAGTGGACATCCATCCCCCATGGCCCAACCAAGCACCCCTCTTTGGAAAGGGGAGTGAAAAATGGCATTTCTCACTGGTGTTTCTCTTGGGTAATTCTAGCTAGCTTTGATCTAGCCCGAATTCTCTTTGAAATTGGTCCAGCCCAATTTCTCATTTAAACGGTAGAAGGCAAAGCATTTATCCTGGGTGGCAAATAGCAAGCTGCAGGATCCGTCTTTATAAGTGCTGATTTTGTGCAGAGGGCTTGACCCTGTGATAACAACTCACATAACATACATACGAAGACTATAATATGAGGAATAATAACTGACATTTATTTGCTTGGCATTTATATACATCATCATATTGAAGCTCTCTCAAACCATATTAGGTAGGTATCTTCATTGCACAGACACGGAACCTGATCCTCCAGAAAGGTAACTTGCTTAAAGTTAGCTAGCTAGAAAGTGGTGGAGCTGGGATTTGAACCTGAACAGTTGAATTCCATAGCCCACCCACCGAGGCCTCCTTCCACATTCCTCTGTGTCTCCCAAGCCCCAGCCACACGGACCGTCTCAAAGTTCTCCAGTCTGATCCAGCCCTTTTGCTCCTCCATACCTTTGCACAATCTGTTCCCTCTGCAGGGAATTCCTATCCCCATCTTCTCCTCCAGATAAATACCTCCTTAACCTTCAGGCTCATCTCTTCACTGAAGTCCCCCTGACTCCATGGCACCCTACTTGCACTCATCGACCACCTCTCCTAGAGCATTTTTTTCATCACCCTATTAGGACTTGTTTTCACCTCAGACATCCTGGACCATGTGTGGGTTCCTTCAAGCCAACTATGCTATGTTCCATTGGCGCCCAAACTACAACTTCACAATCCTGCTTCTGTTTTTCAAGAATCTCAAAGACTTGGGCGCCTGGGTGGCTCAGTTGGTTAAGCAACTGCCTTCGGCTCAGGTCATGATCCTGGAATCCCAGATCGAGTCCCGCATCGGGCTCCCTGCTCAGCAGGGAGTCTGCTTCTCCCTCTGGCCCTCCCCCCTCTCATGTGCTCTCTCTCATTCTCTCTCTCTCAAATAAATAAATAAAATCTTTAAAAAAAAAAAAGCATCTCAAAGACTTGAAGCTGGAAAGACAGTTGGTTCTTTATGCTTTAGAGTCCCCGAATTTTGGTAAGAATGGAGAAGGGGTCCTCTATCTTAGTGTGTAAGCGAATCCTCCATGTTTTTATCCAACCAATGTGGAGAGCTCCCACTGTATTCTCAGTGGTGCTGAGGGAATATAGCGTGGCAGTCAGGTCTATCAGGAGAACAGGAACCACTACAAATATTCAAAACAGAGAATTTAATACACACGGGTGATGGAATCTAAGAACTTAAAGAGGCAGTAGTGAGGCAGTCCAGAGATTCACAACGGCAGGAAGCCAATCCCACCCTTAACGGGAGGGCAAACCAGCCTTAGAGGATCTGGAGCCACCGGGGTGAGGCAGCCCCTGCCAGTGACTCCCAAGGCAGAGAGGGAGACAAATACCCTGGCTTCTCTCTCCCTCCCACCCTCATCTGTGCCTCCCACCACGGGCAGGGCAGCTGACAAGAAAACCGGTGAAAAATGGTCTTCAGGGCAAATTCCCTGTGATAGAGAACAGAGCGCAGGATTGGCAGTGACAAGGATGGATCAAAGAAGTTCTCAGAAACTGTGAGCCTATAGAGGAAAATGAGATCCATGTGATAAAGAGTATATTTTTAAAATGATTCCAGGGGTT